AAATCACTTTAATAGTTCACAAATAAAACAGCCAACACATTTGGGAGAAAACCACCCTCCATCAGGGCTTAAAGTGACATTAAACCCTCAGATTCTTTAACATAAAACAATACTGTAATGTGTGCCTTACTGTAATCCATGGTTGTTTCCCTTCTCTTTGCTGCCTTTCCTTTTAAATCTGTATCTGTTCTCATGCTCTGCAGAACTTCTATTTTGCAGCAGACTGCCTTGTCTCAGGAATGGATACACGGTGTCTGTGTATACGTTTGTATTGGCTTGTAACCTGAGCCAGCACTACAGGAAGAGGCCCTGAGCTGAAAAGGGAAGTTCTACCCAAGCATGAGAAGACATGAGGATTTAAAAGGAAGAGCAGCAAAGAGAAGGGAAACAACCATGGATTACAGTAAGGCACACATTACAGTATTGGTTTATGTTAAAAAAATCTGAGGGTTTAATGTCACTTTAAGGTCAAATCTGAACTTTAAATAAACTTTACTAGATTGATCTGTTTGGATTGACTATAAAAAAAAAAATTAGTTGACTAGTCTGCTACTGTTAAGCTGGGTATACACTATGTGAATTTCAGCCAGTTCTTGATAAACAGCTGATTAAAGGAGCCAGTTGGAAAAATTTTGAACGAACAGAGCCCGTATTCAATCAGCTACCGGCCCTGTTCATGTATTGCTACAGTGGCCAGCAGACAGCGGGTCAATGAAGACAGCAGGAGAATCCTCAATCAATGCTCATAGGCATCGTTACATTTTCTTAATTCAGCCCACAGGTTGAACAAAGAAAATATTACGTTGTATGGGCAGCTTTAGTTACTTACACACTGTAGGGAACCTCTGCGCGTGTATGTTTTTCATAACTTGCCTACTTTGAAATGCCCAGGTATATGTCAGGTTTAGTTTAATTCAGGTACATACTGTATAATCTAACATAATCTACTATATATCATCTTCCTTTTGATTAAACAATCATTTGTTCTTGAATTGGATTATCCATCAGGAGGTTCTTGAGGGCCGAGTTAACAATGTCCAGGGCACAGTTCCTAGTAAGCAATAAGGAGAATAAAAGGTTAGAACATGAAGATTGTTTTGCAATGACTTATTTATATGTGCATACTTTATAAGGAATCACTGTTCAATAAGGAAAAGGTGAAGAAGTATTCTACCTTTAAAGTGACACCTAACATACATAGAAATGTCATCTTGATTTCCCTTTATGTTAAATGGCAAATATTAGAACATATTTTTTTCACTAAAAAGTGCTAGTTCACTGAGCAGAACGGTAATCTAAATGTGGAACTGATTTTTTTTTTTTTAAGTTAACAAAGTAATTTAAATAACTGATATACATTTTGTGATGTGCCACAGAAAGATAATGAATACATATCTAGTGCAGTTGGTATAAAGAAAATCCTGGGTTTCCTTTTTGAATTTTCAAAGCTAGGATAGAGGTGAATCAACAGAAGAAACTAGTCCTTAAGCAGGGAGTTATTTTCTAGGAGAAAGTGAATTTGGTGGGAAAGGAAGTTAGAGAATGAACACCCCTGTTATCTGGATGAACTTTTACAGCGTCAAACAGTCCAAACAAAGTCAGAACAGCCATCTCAATAAAATTATCTGTGGAACATATTTTGACAACAGAGTGTGATACAATGCAATTTTCCCATGAAGCAATCATTTAAGATTTCCCACCAGATGCTAAAATTATGATGACTTTTACAGGGGAAAAGACCAATGTTCAAGACACACACTAAAGCTAGCCATACGCTGTACGAGTTTTCTTGTTCAGCCCCACAGGCCGAATTAGAAAAATGACTTGATTCCCCCTTCCATGCTAAAGAGCATGAATAAAGGAATCTTCCCCGATGGTTATTGTATTCTGACAGCCCCTGCCCACAGATGATTGGCTGCAATCACTGTTCGGCCAACAATTTTTCACCAAGCAAATTTAAGAAAAATAGAATGAAAAATCAACTTTTGTGTAGCTGGGTACTGCCTGTAGGTCCACCCATGGATCAAATTATGGTCAATTAATTGGGAAATTAAATCTGTATCACAGTGTTGCAAGATCAAACGGTAATCATCTGCATGTGCCCTAAGGCACACTAAATCTGTTGCAAAATTAAATGCACAACCATACATAAAAGCATAAGTGATATCTATGGAGCAATGGATCACTGCACAACCTAATGGTTGCCCAGTGTTGTAAAATTCAATGTGCAATCTAAAACCTAGCAATCACTTTGTGCAGCTCAGTCACCCATACGTTGCCTTTTATCTCATGCTTCTGCGTGCATTAGCAACTGAGATACAGACTTTGACAGCTCACTCCTCTTTATTCCTGACCACATTCTGCAAAGGAGATAGACTCTTGATTGACAGCTCTTATCTCACTGTCCGAGCACTTTCCAGACACAATCAAGTTCATAAGAATGCAGAAGGAGGGGGCATGCTCTCACACGAATCAGTACAGGCACTAGAAATGGAAGGAAAGCTTTGTTTTGTATTGGGAAAGTGCAAAGACAGTGAGATAAGAGCTGTCAATCAAGAGACTGTCTCCTTTGCAAAGCATGGTCAGGAATGAAGATGAGTGAGCTGTCAAAGTTTATATGTCAGTTTCTGTATCACACAGAAGCAAGGGATAAAAAGTAACATACAATGTGGGAGTTAGGTGACTGAACTGTGAAAGTAGGGTTGCACAGATACCAAGTACAGTACTCGGTACAAGTACGAGTACGTGTACCGATACTTTTGAGCTCCAAGACTAGACTAGAGAAAAATACAAAAGTTAGGAGGCAGCCGTCATTTGTAAGAAGCACACGGAGCTCCTGGGATTTGTATAACTCTGCTTTAATGTACGATTTTGTTTTTATAAATATAAATAAAGGGATGCACAGATACCAGTTTTGCAAGTACAAGTACTGGTACTTGCCGAGTACTTACAAGTACGAGTACTGTACATTTTTGTTTATTGTCATGTGACAGTTTTTCTACAACAATACAGACTGATGATTTCAGGACAGTGGTGGAGCGCCAGAGCCCGGTCCCAGCTGCAACCGCTGCAACCCTGGTAGTTCTCATGAAAATGCCAAGGATCTGCACTGGTACTCGAAAAGTATCTGTGCATCCCTAGTGAAAAGTAATACAAGATGAGACTTCTTTAATGAAACCAGAGAACAACTGTTTCCACTGACCACAGTAAACATTTCTCACTGAGTGTAGGCTGCCATGTTTAGACATCTTGGCTAACTGACTTCCAGGATTTGTCCAGGAACTACTCCACCTCCTCTAACTGCTGTAGTAGCTTTATTTTGACTCTTGCAAGCATTGCTTGTGGAAAAGTACCCCCAACAGAGTTTTCAGTCTATTGCACTGCAGTTACAAAGGACAAGGCAGTGTCACACTTGTCTGATTTCCATAAGCAAAACACAACCAGTAATTGGGGAATCTGGCTGCAAAGAAGTAATGTTATCATTATGATCTTACGCAATGGGGAGGAGAAAAAAAAATACATCAGGAAAATCTCACTACTTGTGTGTCTGGGGGACATAAGAAATCAGCAAGTGTTTCAACCACCCAATGCATGCCCACAACTGGAGTACCTATTAAAGTGGAGTTAAGCTTTAACAAAGAATTAGAATAAGTACTACAGCATTGCAGTTTTAGAATGGCATACATCTACATAGTGGAACTGCCTCAGAATAAACCTCACAAGGTGATATCACCCATTACTGTAAATTCTGAGCCAAACTTCATTTGGGCTCCAGTACAACCAAGGCATCTTCTGAAGTAAGTATATAAATCCTGACTTTTGGAAAATGAAGGACCAGCAAACCTAAGCTGAATGCAAAAAGACAATATGTCCCCTTTCTGTATGTACTCTGCACTACACTGCTGTCACCCTGCAAGGTAATTTAAAAAAAAAGAGAAGTAAAGCCAAATCTATGTTGGGCTTTACTTCTCTTTTGGGTTACAGGAGTACATTTACTAATGTACTCCTGTGACCCAAGGTCAGCAGATAGAGGATTTATGGCTGCTACCAGCTGATAGCGTATCGAGGAATCCAACAATATTTTCAGGATCTACCCTGGCTGCCTAATTGACAGCTGACTCTGCTTCTCTCTCTACTGTCAGCTACGCCCATCCCCTCCTCTGCCTGTAGCTCCAGCTTGCACTGGAGAAGCAGAGAGGGGAGGGTGGAATCCATGCAGCAGGTTGTGACTGCCAGTAACTGCCATTCACTGCTCTCCATTGGTCCTTTAAGCCATGTCTGATATTTAGCACAATTTACCCAGGTCTGTTTTCAGTACATAAAGGACATCCTCCTTTTTAAAGAACGTTCCATATGGAGGGTAAGTGAGTTTTAGCCGAAGAAAAGTAATAAAATATAAAACATATATATAATAAATATATATATATGTGATATAAAACAGTCCAGCACATACTTCCCAACTTGAAAACTTGAAAAACAGGGCCACCTTAGGATGGAAAAAAAGGTGTGGCATACGACATGTTATGTACTGAAAACAGACCTGGGTAAATTGTGCTAAATATCAGACATGGCTTAAAGGATTATGGTTAAATAGAGTCTGAGCCTACATATAGAATATACTATATACAGTCTGCAGTCCTTGTCCCCACAAAATATTCCATAATGACTGTACTATCAGTGAAAGTCTTAAACCCAAAGGATCATAAAACAAATATACATTACACAGAGAGCTAACCCTTTTTCTGAGGCTACCTTAAAGAGGTTCATTAGTTGAAAACTAAACAGTAATGATCAAAAACATTAATTCATTACAAATTATTAACTTATTTTATACACCTTCAAACAAGCAAAAGTAAATACTATTTAGGTTAAAATATTTAGAATGACTCTTGCAGGATCAAGAATCTTTAGCATGGAGCAAAAGTAATAATGATATCATCTCAAATTCCCCTTGAGTAATAAATGTATTTCATAAATTAAGAAGAAAGTAGATTTACCATTCATAACTTGGTCATAGAATAATCTTTCTTATTTCCAGATTTCCTGTGTTTGTGTACTAATATTATCGCTACAATCAGTAAAACCACAAAGGCGGGGGCAGCTGCAAAGTACCAGGCAAAAGAGGAGGCTGTAGAAATGTAGAAAAATAACAAGCTTACTAATATGTGCCATAATCAATTAAATACTGACATAAACAAGGCAGATGTCCAAGACAATGTTGTTTCAGCCTAATGTGGAGATGGGACTGCAATGGTTTATCAGAGACATAAAACAAAGAGTGACTAAAACAGATATGTAAACAAAGCATGGATTCTGACTAACTCATTGGTCTCATAAACGTAATTAAAGTAACCAGAAATCATGACTAAAGTTTATTGTAGTTTTCCACTTACAGTACTGGAAAAAAGAGGAAAGAAAAATTGGAGTATTATGCCTAGAGGCAGATTCTCCCAATAATCAGCTAGCTGAAACCCCAATGGATCTTGAGTGGGTTTTCTTTGGCTGAGTAGAAAAGTTGTCAATGTACAACATTATAGTGGCAGAAGAATGGTCAGCTTAGTTCAAGCTGCAGAAAATCAACTAGTTCTGATCACTTAGGGACCATCACAACTGGTTCCAGTCAACTGAATATCTAAATTTATAGCGATTACTTACCAATTAATAATATATTCCATTAAAGTTGTTGTTTTTTGGTCTTAGCAAGAAGTTGAAAACTACATTGATAGGCATGTCATTCCACCATGTGTTGAGCTTTTAAAGGTTTGTTTCAATGTTCACTACATCATTAGTTGGCCAACTGTCTATACTGGACATATCCATGAATGGCTAAATCAGCTACAGATTGGGCTGTCCACCGCCAAGAAGGAAAAAGCTCAGGTAGCTAAACATGCAGAAGTATGGGCAACTTTATGTTAGTCTCACACCATACTCAATGGTTGGACTGAGCAGCTGTTAATCAGATGTGACTATTTGCCTGTTCCACTGTTAAACCATTCCCGTGCATTTGAAATTGGACACTTGGGACCTCCTGTTTGCAACTTACAGGCCATATAAACATTTGCCAATCTAAAAAACTAAGTCATGGTGCAGTATATTAAATTCGTATATTCCAGACTGTACCACCATTGGCCACATATGGCCCACTATTTTCATTCCTAATCTGTAATGTTTCATAATATTGAACATTTACCCCAATGTATTTAATTGTGTAAAAGTACATTCATATATTTTCCAGCAAGCTAAATTTCTATACTAATCCTCTACTGCCACCAAATCATTCTCCTATAGAAATAATCAATCATATCTCCAATCTATGGCTGACCATACACTGCCCAGTGGGCTTAACAAGAAAACAACTCTCAGATTCCCCCATCCACGTTAACAGCTTGGACAGGAGAATATCCCCTACCCAGCCTATTGTATTCTGACAGCGGCGGTTGTGCTGGTGTCAGAATACCCATACAGCGACTGCACCTGACTTGCCAACTGAAAAATTGACATTTGTTGAATGGAGTGGTCTCAACGGGGCCACACACATCTCGGATTTCAGTCAATTCGGCCAAAATTCAACCAGTGCATTGCATCTGAAAAGCGTTTAGCTTAAAAAAAAGGACTAATGAAGCCTGATGATGAAACTATACAATTACTTTTGAGTGGAAGTCAGTAGATACAGCCCCAATATAAAGTTTCTTTATTAAGTTTTATGGCAATCTCCACACATTGATACACACACTGTTGCTTCATGCCTGGGTGTTGGCATGTCCCACATTGAAGTCAGTGGGGCATCTAAACTCTAGCAGCAAGCAGGCTGAGTAGCAAGAAATGATAAGACGTAACTGATCTGCACATTATAGCAAATTAACAGGAAAGTAAGATTTTAGGTTAACCTATTACCCTCAACCCAGCACTAAATGATTTTATGCTGGAAATTAATTTTGCATAGAAGCATTAACAATTTATTTTTTCAAATGCGGCTTCTACAATGCTTTACAATTAATATATATGCAGGTTTCCCATCATAATCATAAAAAAACACACAACAAAACAAATGGAGATCTTACACTGTTCAAAGCAGGAAAAAAGAAATAAATAAAATACATAAATAAATAAAAAATTAAATATATATACACAAACACATACACACGCAAACACATACATACATTTCTATCAACCACTAACAAAATTACCGCACAACATTCCTTATATTACCTGCTTGTCTTATCTGTGTTGGCAAGACTTCATGACCATGATCATTTCTGGCTATGCACCTAAAATCTGTCCTAAAATCCTGTTCTTCAATCTGTTCAAAGATGAGTGGGACCTCGAAGTACTGGCCATCAGCATCCATAGTCTTTCTGCATAGCAAAGATACAGATTTTTTACTACTGTGCATTTAATCTGTGAATAAAGCCTCACCAATTTACACTTTACATTGAGGCACACCAGTTAAATCACATACATCACATACAAACCCATCACTAAAAATGTATTCTATAATAAATTGAAGGTATTTTGGATAAATACTAAAAGATGTCTAGTCTACATAAGTCTGTGGAGGTTTTTCATTTATCCAGGTCATGGTATATCTGTAACAAATAAGTCAAGGGAACTGGACTTGATGTATTTTGCTTGAAAAGGTTTCACTCGTCATCCGACCAGCTTTCTCAATTCAGAATTACTTGTACAATTATTATCTGGGAATAAATATGGTGTATGCTGCTCCAATCCACATAATCTGTTAGTCACAACCAGGTGTTGATTTCATTTGCATAATTAGAGCTGGGAGGCGATATTAACCTGCTCAGAGAGAGGTATTAAAACAGCATTATATGTGGCAGACAGTAGGTT